TGAGAGGGGTCTCTTTGTCACAATAGACCAAAAGCATTAACTGTCGCTTAAAGTTACAGAGTTTAGTAGAGATTGCACACCAGAGTCAAACACCGCCGTCCATTTAGAAGCACAGGGTTGCTTGTATTGTCGCCAGGCCTCCATGTACTGCGCCCGGTCTGCTGCACCGTTAGCCGAATTGTGGCAAACAGTTGGGCCAACGTACATTTACTGTCAGAGAAATGAACGTTTTGTTCCTAATTACACTCGACAGGTCGACAGATTCGGTGGAGAAAGTGTCATGGTGTAGGGTGCAATATCCAGCACATAAAGACCTGATTTAGTGGAGGTTCAGGGGGATTTGACAGTCAATCGGCATGACAAATGCTTCCGATTATGGACCGAGAGAGGGAGTTGTTCCAGCATGACAACACTACTTCATATACAGCACACGTCACGGTCCGCCAACTAGCAAATGTTTGACGTGACGGGAGACAACATTCAGTAACTCTCTCACACACTCCAATATTCACCTTAGACATGGTAGATGGAACGTTTTGTAGCTTGCAGCTGTTCCAACTGCCCCGTAGACAGGTCCCAACGAGGAGAATACCTGCAGACACGCTTCTATCCATACCTGAAATAAATATCAACTAGTTACTTGATTCCCTCTGATATCAAGGGAAAAAAGTAGCTGTGAAAAATATACGTATGGATCACTGAAAAGCAGCCGCGACAAGCGAGCTTTACTTCAATCAAGATGTTATTCAACCGTGAGGCTACTGTAGCAGGTGAGGGTTCGAGTGATCCTGGTACAAGCTGCTTAATCTTATTGTTAGGTGACGGCTCTTATCTCCATTAAATACAAACCGTGACGGTGATTTCGACTTCTTACATGAAGCACAGTGTTGGGATCTCTTTCATACTCCCATTATAATTGTACTGTGATTTAATTTATTACCACTCAGTTTTGTTTCGCCACACTATTAACCATGTAATCTTCTATAGAGATGAGGTAGCCTCCCTGAGTCGAGAGGCTACCCCCACACTAATGAATCACCCTTCGCATCCTTGCATGTGTGAAACTAGGTCATAGCTCGCGTCCTTTACAGCGTGGGCCGACGCCATGATGAAAAAGTCGTCCGTTTGTGTGATGACACCTGCGTGCGCAAATGTAAACTTATGAGATGAAATAAACAATGACAATAGACAACTTCTATACACAATATTTAATAAGCTCGTAAATCTAAATAGCAACAGATGCTACTTTCACGATACATCATATCATAACATTAGCCTTTATATACATATCGGCTTACAATTTCAACTATGTTTCCAACCTGCTCATTATTATCTATCCATATTCGAGCAAAACATTCAGGAGATCTCAAGCAGCAGCAGCAGCAGCAATCACAAGCAGCAGCAGCAATCACAGAAGCACCAACTACAACAGCCACTGCACCACTACCACCACCACATACCACATACCACCACCACCACCACCACCACATACCACCACCACCACTACCACCACCACCCCCACATACCACCACCACCTCCTCCTCATACCACCACCATCTCCTCATACCACCACCACCACCACCACTACCACCCACCACCACCTCCACCACATACCACCACCCTCATACCACCACCACCACCACCACCACCACCACCACCACCACCACCACCACCATCACCACCACCACCACCACCTCATACCACCACCACCACCACATACCACCAACACATACCACCACCAACACATACCACCACCACTACCACCACCACCTCATACCACCACCACAACCACCACCACATACGACCACCACCACAACATCATACCACCACCACCGACAGTTGTGACGTCATTAGCGTGGGGGTAGCCTCTCGACTTAAGGGAGGCTACCTCATCTCTATGGAAGATTACATGATTAATGGTGTGCCAGCATGCCCAGTTATGCTGGGACACAATCGGAAATTGTCAAAAGCTAGACAATAACTTCAACTTGGTTTGATAAATGTAGTTTATCTACGCTGACAGATGGCACCAGCGTTTGTACTATGTTACATTCTCGAGAGAATTGGCAAGCTGGTGTAAAGCTTTTACTTAACTGGTTAAAAGTTTGTCAAAGGGTTCATTCCAATAGCATTTTGTAATGTGCATGGTGCAGTGAATTATTAACTTGAACACTGCATAAAGCTGTGCTATTTCAGTGAATATTTAATGGAGTGGAAACGGAACAACACTCGTGTAACACAGACACCATGTCCTTGGCATCGAACTGAAAATAATGTTGCGATCTAGCAAAACAAACCTACCTTCAGTCTACCTTCAGTTACTGGCGATCTATAGCACGTTTTTAAGATCGTATTGTTGTGTAGAGTAATATAATTGCATGGACTAACTGTAAGGAAACGTCTTTGATAATCTAGTGAGTTTACTGTTATATATAGCTTTCATATTCACGATTTGGCTGAAATACTGCCGTAATGACTTTAAACATTCAGTCCGTAGCTAAAACTAAAAACAAACTAACATAAGTGTACCACCAGTGTTATCTTTTAAACGTTTGTTCCATTCGTTTGTGGGGCGGTGGGGTAGTCTAGTGGTTAAAGCGTTGGCTCGTGACGCCGAAGACCCGGGTTCGAATCCCCACATGGGTACAACGTGTGAAGCGCATTTCTGGTGTCCCCGCCGTGAAGTTGCTGGAATATTGCTAAAAGCGGCGTAAAGCCAAACTCAGTCAGTCCATTCGTTTGTGGAACACAGACATGTCCCATTCATTGACGACTTTCACGTGTCAGCGTTTCACGTTACCCCCACCAGTATTGCCGAGGTCGGCCAAATAGGCATCGGGCTTACAAAGTAAGGAATTATGAAGCAGCCGTCTTTAGAAACCATAACAGTGAGAGAAAAAATAGATTTCTGGTTAGAAGTGTTACATTCGACACAGTGTTAATTTTTATTTAGCCAAGGAGTTTATTATTTTTTACTAAATTACATATAAAGACACACTTACTAACATCTTAATTTTTCATAATTTACACAAAATATATTTGTTGAGAATTCATACCAATGACAATTAACAGCGGCTTATACAGCTATCTTTGAATGCTATGTAGATCATAAACGATCGTATCATTCCTGATAAAATTACTTCTTCTGCACCGATTAACTTCAATTACAGTTTCAAGATATTTTGAGGTTTACCATATCTACAAAAATATTTCGGAATCACCCTGTAATGAAGCAGGATGAGACTCTCACTCAAACGTTAGCAGGTTGTTTTTCTTTGAACTTTACAATAGAACAGGACATATAAACTTACGATAAGGCCCTGGCTGGGCTGGTAGACTGCAAGCATTGACTGTTCAACGATGCGATTACTAAAACACTTGAAATGTTATTTGAAAATGAGTGAATATATGGCTTCTTCTAACAATGTTTTTCAAATTGCAGGGAAGAATGGAAATATTTGCAGCAACACATTTTTTCAGTAGAGGGTAACATGTTTTTTATTGTGCCCGTAAATTAGTGACCTCCGCCTGGAAATATTTGCAGCAACACATTTTTTCAGTAGAGGGTAACAAGTTTTTTATTGTGCCCGTAAATTAGTCTCACTGTCGCCCAGAAAGTACGTCATTATGTCAACCTTAAATGTGATAGCCTAGCTTTAATAGCGTGAGAACTCTGCGGACACAGCCGTGTTGATTTCAGTCCTCTTTCAGTGGTGAAGATATCACATCGTTCTCTCTGTTCGTTCCCTCCTGATATCACTCCAGTACTGACATGGCTGCTGTAGGACCCAAGTACACTGTGAGGAAGGCCACCCGAGCTGACATTGGACCAATTAAAACCCTGACTGACGCAGAGGAGTGGGAAATACCACTTTGCTTATTGTATTGCGTCTTTGATATGGATTCAAGGGCTTGGTTCGTAGCTGAATCGGACAAGGGTGAAATAATCGGTGAGTGACACAATGAAATTAATTCCATGGATGTTTGTAATGAGACATGTACACTGTAATAGTTACATATGGTCAGCGGTTGACGGCTCGGGTTTTTTGGGTATTAGCAGAAGATTGTGTTGTGCATCACTCCTGTGTTAACATTAGATACGGGACAACCACGCGCTGCCAACGGATCACAACTCATGATCTTACCCAGGTAGCATGCCATCATCGGCCCGACATCGGCCCGACGTCGTGTGCATTATCGGCCCGACGTCGGCAAACTTCATCAAGTTTTGCTCATCGTATAGACGTCGGCCCAACGTTGGCAAACTTCAATGGCCCTGTATCGGCCCAACGTCGGCATACTTCATTGGCACTGCATCGGCCCAACGTCGTCACTTTATAGGCACTGCAATATTAAACTAACGGGCAAAAGAAACGATACCAAGTCGAAACCACTGATATTACAAAACGACAAACCACCATTGTGTAAAAGGAAAGTGAATTTTGGTGACATGGATAACATGCATGTGTATACACATGCCCATACACCTGTTATTAAAATGCACTTTCCTTTTACTCAATGGTGGTTTGTCGTTTTGTAATATCAGTGGTTTCGACTTGGTATCGTTTTCTTTTGCCCGTTAGTTTAGTTGTTCACTCCACTTCTCCACGGTGAATACATATTTTATAGCATGTACCACAATTTATATGTGAATACTATTTTATATCTGTATCATAACATGTATACAAATGTGAAGAAACATTCCCTAAACATATCATGTTTTTAAAACTATTTATTCATATGAATTTGTATGGTTCCAGAAACAGTGTGTTCTATGAACGTTTAGTTATTAAATTTTGTAACCACCAAAAAGGCTTCTGAAAACGTTTTATCCATGTGAATGCTTATTGTTCAGGAAACATTGTAATGACATTTTCTGTCAAGATATGGTTTTAACTTTTCAGTAAAACACTAACCGTTAACAATAAGGTTACATGTCTATGGAAAATAGACATTGTTACTCTTAACAAGGATAATAAAAAAAAAGAATGGCAGACATATAATCAACATTCTTTATTAATTTCTTTCAGAAAACGCGTACACTTTTCAAGAATATTTCAGAATCTTCTTCTTTGGTTTCGACTTTATCCATTTTTCTGAAATACAGAAAACAATTGTATAGTAAGTGTATTAAGTCAAATCAAGAGACAATAATCAGTTAATGATGTCTTCCTGCACCTATGTATGTGCAAGTGTTTGATGGACACCAGCACACAATGGAAAATAATGGAAATCCTTGAATGCCTAAATTTGGTAATATATAGTATCAAACCACACTGAATAGCAACCACTAGCCCATCACTCTTGTTGGTCGGAGGCTGGGTGCATGTACAAATCCAATTTTTGCAATAAAAAAAACAACGTCACCAACAAGTATATAGACAATGATATTAAACAGATGCACTTACGTTTACTGATTCACAGCTCCTGGATTATTTGATGTAATCCTCAATAAATCCATCACTTCTGTTTGTATCTGCCTGAATTCTTGTGTCTCATTTTCGCCCTTGCTGCAACAAAAAAAACATTGTTCCACATTATAACAAGTTACAAATTGAACTAGATTCCCCAAGCATATATAAATCTAGTTAGTCCGATGCTGAAATATATTGTGTAATAATTATTGCCTAAAGTTTTGGGGGGTCAACGTGCGTAGATTTAACACCAACGTGTATAAAGTTGCCCCTTTACAACAAACATGGATTACTGGACAGCTCTTCTTTACATTCTAACCTGGAATACAAACTTGAATTGATATATTAAATAGCTATTGTTACTAGCTACATGATTCACGTCTTACACGCGAAAGTTACTGCATCAGTATGATTTCGTTGCGAGCATTGTAACCAGATTCGTTCAGTTTTCGATCACTATATTTTTTCTCATTGGCAAAATGTTTCGGTGAACCAAGTAAACCATAAGAAATTTATTTGGTCTACATTTCCTGAACAAAGACTAAGTAAATTTGAATAATTAATACTGTATCATGAAAAAACATGGTGATCGAAAACCGAATGAACATTGCCGAGGACCAGTCATCGCCAACGCCCCATTATAGCGCGGGAAACAATGTTTATTTCTGGCTCTCGTTTAGAAATTTCTCGCTCTCGTTTAGAAGAGAAATATACATATCCGAAAATGATAAATTGATTCGTTTGGGGAAAATTGAAGAATACACAATGTAAAGACTTTACTTTGATAATATAGATCTAGCCTTTTACTGAAAATAACGTGGGAATGTTAGACCGGCATAACCACAACAACCGTGCGGATGATGAACATTTAGTTTAGTCAGTGTTACGGTAATTTACCAAGTATGCTTTGGTCATTTCTGAATAACATACTTAGACTATGACCCACAGTCAGGTCGACCAGAATGTATTTGATTCCCTATTTTCGTGTTATAAGTTTAATGCAACCTTTTCCACTGACTGAAGTGAGCGAACTTTTCATAGCTTAAAAAATTAATAGTAAGTTGTAATGTTAAATTAAAAAATATATATTTCAGAAATAACAGGGAACAAAATTAATGACGATAAGTGTCACTGTCTTGTGAGCTGTGCATACGCTTACTAGATCGAAAACCGAACGTAATAGCGACAAATGTCCGCCTGACATGAACTCTGGTTAAGAACATACTGCTTGCCATTGATAGCTGTATAAAATTTTGTATCCAACATAAAATTAATATGGTGCAAACTCCCTTAGGTCTCCTTCACAACAACATACATAATACTCTCTGTTGGAAGCCTAACAACACCGAATCTAAGAGATCGTATACGGCTGCTCAAAACTTCGCGATTTCTGAGTAGCACGAGGGAGTGAATATCAAAATGTACATAAACATATCAACGACCGTGTAGTGACTGTAAAGTTAACTTACCGTAACCAGGGTCAGATCGATGATACAGTTCAATTTGTTGCTGCACAATGACATTGTTGTACCGTCCTCAATAAACTTCAACTAAGATGGCGGGTGCGAAAATATGACGTGAACGTGTGACGTCATTCCGACGTCCTTTCTCACGGTAACATATCTTTCTTCATGAACAACTTTTTAAAAAAGCTTTTGAATAATTAATGCTTTTAAATAGTTGAGAGAATTGTTTTAAGATTGTGAGTGTGTTTTGACGAAACTATTTTGGATAAATCAGTTTGAAAACCTATGAACATGTTTGGAAAATGTTATGTGATAGCTGGGTTACACTGGCCCACTATCGGCCCAGCGCTGTTCAACGATGCCGACGGTGCCGACTATCAGCCGACGTCGGGCCGATGATGGCATGCTAACTGGGTTAAGGACCCTTTGTGGAAATGCTGCTACGTGACAGTAGGTTAAAGCAGCACCATACCAACATGTTGCACGATTTGGTAAAGAAATTTAAGGCAGCATTACATTTCCTCTCTGCCTTGCCGGACTGCAGCTGTTTCCCCATATCTCTAGTCATAGAACATGAGATGACATACAGCCACTCCGGCAACATGACCTGAACCAGCTGGTGGGCTGGAGCAACGTGGCCAATCAGGTTACCTGTAGCGTTACAACCAGGCTGTTTTCAATTATTTGCTAAAATATATGCGTTGAAGCAGCCTCTAGCCAAAAGGGGTCAGCTTTATACATCGTTATTCGAACCGTTACACCTACGCCCCATTGTGCAGGGTGTATCTCTCTGCCTACTGGAAGTATATACTATTGTTGCCAATTAACGCTTTCTGAAGAGAGGCCAGATATCTGAATTATATTTTCAATATAATAACATTTTTACCTCCAAATATAGTTATGTGCAGAGTTTTCTTGTTCCGTCACTACATTCCACAGGAAAACATAGTCTTCCACAGCAATGTAACAATAACATCTACAAAGCTGTGCAGTACAGTTTAATACTGTGTTCACAGTCTTGAGTATGCCCGACAAGCAGTTAGTGCAGCCAGACTATATTAGTTCTCTGCAGCCAGACTATGTTAGTTCTCTGCACACTCCTGGCTTATGGATGCTGATCTACTTGTTCTGGGTCGTTCCAACCTGGTTCTTCTACTCGTGGTGCCTCCTCCAGCCCCAGACTGGGATGCTGTGCTTCTCAGTGCTGATGAATATATTTTGTTCTGGAATGTTATTCATATGTATTCCATAGCACGGAACGATATCCATACTTGCTTCTGTCACTTGATACTAGTCATATATCTAGTAGTGTGTAGTTTGTCATATATCTAGTATAGTCCGTTTGGCGCAAAATCGGACAGATGAATTGCAGTCTAACTCGAAAACAACTAAAAATAGAATACTCAATGAAACAATGATCGTAACATCAGACAAACTCTGTGATATTTTTACAGAATTTAGGACCTAAAAATAAGAAAGTTGTTTAACAAACTATCATTAAAATTTTGACACAGTTCACTGTTTGTTACGAGGGAGGACTGTTTTATGTAACATTGTACAAGTGGAAGTGTCTTTAAAAGTGGCTCCAAATGTGTCAAATATTCTACCAATTGCTTTACGTTTTTGGGTTTGAATGGTTTCATATGTGACGTTTTGGGGGAATTTAGTGGCCTCAAATGGACCAATCTTTTAAGAAAAGCAAGAGTAATAGATATCAACTTCTTGTGAATAGCACAACGTTTTGGAGTGTATGCTTGCTTCTTCATCAGGTCATGAATATTCACAATAAAGAAGTTGACATCCATAAATCTTGCTTTTCTTATGCATTCCCCTTCTAAATGGCCTTCAAAGATTTGACCATTCTTCTATTTGTAGACTTACAAGTTGAGCTAATGGCTCCAAGTGACCATTTCACAATTCACATTATTTTGTTATTTTTGTTTTGTTTCATAATGGGACATATGTTATCAATTAACGATAAAGGCCAAAGTCTTATTTTTGTAGGACTGTATCATGACATTCTAGTCACGGATCGTAGTTACTGGAGGTCACATGAGATTTTAAGCTCAAGTAGTTCACCTAGATCATGTTTTTGTTTCATTTTACAACAGTTCGTGTTAACACATGTTTATATTGGAGTTGAATCTGAACGAATCACTGACAAACAGTAACAATAATTACATACTGCATTGAAGTGCATTCTGTTGAAGCAAACTACACTGACCATGAAAATCATGTTATACTATTACCTTTATCATTATGTTCGCAAAACATTGTTGCAATACGGTTACTTCAATGAAACATTCCACATTATGGCTCTATATCATTTATCTGTTCACCAATGGCATACACTCATACACAATGGGGACAGGAAGCCTGAAAGTATGGCATAACAGCGATGTCGCACACAGAGAGCTATATGAATTTAAGATGTATGCACTTGGACAGAAACCTTCCAGTCAATATATCACAATATGTATTGCAATATCTCTTAAATTATTGCAATATATCGCAATATGAGAATCAGGGCAATATCCAGCCCCAGTTTTCACGAGCGATGTTTTGACGACCATAGACTGACGACTGCACTCTCCTGCAGTAAACTATTCCGTAACACCCCGTTTCTTGGGTCGCAGTTGCTTCTCTCGGGAAACATCACTGGTGGAAACATTATGTTTAACCTTTTTCAACGGATAATTGTCTCAGTTCGAATCGATCTAACAGCAACACGACAATGTTGGCTGACTGAGCCTATGTCCACAGTCCAACAATGCATCCGTGGAATGTGACGTGACGCCAACCTCATGTGGATTTACTGTTGAAACCACACGCTGGTAGTAGAAGTACGACGGTAACATTTTCCAGTGTGGTTTACGATAAAGACAGTCGTAACTAACATATTATGGAGAAGATATTTAACCCGAACGAAATCCGTCCGCAAACTTATCAAACGTATTCACGGTAACGTGCGTCTTAGCGCGCGCGCGTGTGTGTGTGTATGTGTGGAGAGAGAGAGAGAGAGAGGGAGAGGGGCAAATACGTCACTGGAGGAGCTTGTCATTTTTTCCGTGAATGAGGATTGTTGATTCAGGTCACTGACATCCAAGCTTCTCTGTTTGATTCTGCCTAGATTAATTCCTGTTTGTATTAGAATTTGGAACCTTAGAAAGGAAATGCAGTTTGCTCTAGCCCCATGTATAATGTAATAAAGTACACTTTTACCCTGGACATTATAGTTACAGTACGAGGATGCTGGTAGTAGAATGGCGCCGCTTATTACACCATACATGGGTATAGAACAGCTGTATTTCTAAATTATGAACTGCCTCCGTGGTGTAGTGGTTAGAGCGTCCGCCCTGAGAGCGGAAGGTCGCGGGTTCGATCCCCGACCGCGTCATGCCAAAAGACATTGAAATATGGTACTTGTTGGTCCCTGCCTGGTACTCGGCATTAATGGGTACAACAAGGACTGGTCGGCTCGGAGTCAGTATAATGTGTCTGAGTGGGGTATTCATGCTTCACTGCGGCATGGTATCTCAGTGGGCTAGCACTATAAAACCAGCTTCAGTCTGGGCTAGTACAAGCAGCCGCACATACACATACACACGCATGCACGTCGTCATATGAGCGAACTATTCTCAAGCACGACGATAAACCCAATTTCACCTCACCTCTTAATTATGCCCATCATGTTTATAATAATGCCTATGCTCTTCTCTCGTCAGCTATTCGAGTCTTTGTGTACTGTAACGAAGAGACGGCGGAAGGCGGCCTCTATATCGTCAGGAAAGATCTCAGAGGCAAAGGTATCGGACGAGACGTGAACCGCCATGGCCTCGCAGCAGTTGGTGACGCAAACATCACCCTCTCGGCAGGTCTGGTCAGCCTCTACGACAGCCATGGCTTCACGTTCTACTATGACGTACACCAGAAACGTGGGCCAGTGGAAGTCATACTGGGGGCCATTCCTGAAGCAGGAACGACCTCGGGTATCACCATAGTCCCCTATGAAGATGCCATGTTTACGGAGCTGAGGGCGTACGACGAGAAAGTATGTGAAAGTGAGAGGGATTACTTCTTCAGAAACTGGATCATCAGCCATGCAAAGAACATTCTCATTGCACGATCACATACCGGACGTGTTGTAGGATACGGGTGTTTGCGGGTGACAGAATACTGCAATGAGATTGCACCGTTGTATGCTGATAGCGACATCATTGCATGGGCACTGTTGAAAGAACTCTTGCAGCACCTGGACCCGAAGGAATCTGTCCATATGTTTATCGTCTCGGAAAACAAAGCAATGATGGAGAGTGTAGGCAAAGCTCCCCTGACAAACGCTATTACGCTTCACAAAATGTACACTAAAACGCAGGTGCCCCAAAAACTGGAGCAGTTGTATTCGTTATCTGCCATGTCATTATCTGTTGTGTGATGTATTTCCGCTCATAAACAGATATGTGTAACTACACTTTCTTTGAACCAATAAATTAATGTAAATCAAAAGGGTTTCACCTTAAGGGTAGATTTTGGAGGTGATTGCATGTTTATGACATGTAAAACAAAGGTGCAGACATCTTGAAGGTATTTCTTTGCATTATTTTTATTTGAAAATCATTGCCATGTGTAAATATAGCTATTTGCTTCCACAATAAATTAAAAAGGAATCGATTCAGTGTTAAATCAACAAACATATGTGATATAGTGAAACATATTCATAGCGTAGTCTTCTACAGTTGTGTTTGCTAAAATAACATGATATAAGTCGATACACTGTCGATAGTAAAATTTACTACCTACGTATACACAGTCAGTTCAATTTCTTTCAAAAGCCAAAGTACTAAATGAGGTCTAACATGATCAAACAGATCCTTTATACACGAAACTTAGAAAAAGTTACCATGTGTGATGGAAAATCGTCGGTCTACAAAACCAACAGAATATTTTGGAACGTTATACAAATGAATGGAAATTATTTGTTAATTTTGAAAAAACAATCATAGTTATCTTTAGAAGAGGTGGGTCTGTCGCCTCTAAAAAAAATGTTTTTTGAGTGGCAAAAATTTATCTATTGTTAATCAGTATACCTATCTCGGACTACTGTTTTGCCATACTATGAACTTTAAAAAGAGTGTTATAGACCTAAAATCACGTGCTAAGAATGATCATATTAATGTTATGTCAGTTTCCCAGAATTTTGGAATTTTAACCCCGAAAATATATTTTAAATTGTTTGATGCACAAATCCAACCGATTATGCTTTATGGGTCTGGAATTTGGGGATTTCAACGTCATGAATGTCTAGAGAAACTACACCTTTTAGCATGTCCAAGATTTTTAAATGTAGCGCGAGCAGCACCAACTTGTATGGTTTATGGAGAATGCGGTAGATATCCGATATATATAAATTCACAAATCAGATGTTTAAAATATTGGTTAAAGATCCTTGGAATGCACGAACAAAGAATCCCCAAACTAGCTTATAACATGCTTGTACATTTAGATGATAGGGGTAAGACAACATGGGCGCCTCATATAAGAACTCTTTTATTTTCTCATGGCTTTGGATTTGTGTGGCTAAATCAAACAGTTGGTAATATTAATCTATTTCTTAAGCAATTTCGAGAACAATCTGTTAGCATGTATTATCAAGAATGGCATTCCTGTCTAGACAATAGTTTAAGATACCAGTTGTATAGTTCACATAAGAGCTTAATTCAACCAGAACTATATCTATCTGTATTGACATCAGAAATATCAGACGCACACTTGTCAATTTTCGATTGGGCCTGTTAGACTTATCAGTAAATAAGGGCAGACAATTTTCAATAGAGAGACGTTTAAGGATATGTCCATTATGTAACTCGGCTATAGAAGATGAAATTCACTTCGCTTTTGTATGCCCACATTATGCTGGTTTAAGAAAAAAATATATCCCAAATAATTACCTGTTAAAATATCCTTCATCTGCCTTTGCTTCCATTCTATCTTCCAAAAATGAAAATGTAATACGTAATCTTGCGCTTTATGTAAAACATGCTGTTTTCCTTAGAAGCAATATCTTATCTGAACTGTAATTTCTTTGTGAAATGTCTGTAACATGTGCTGTATATATACTTGTATTACTTGTATATGGGCCGGATGCCTTAAGTACAATAAATATCTTTGACTTTGACTTTGACTTGACAGGCTTGACCATTATTCTCTCATCTCAAGGGATACAAAACAGAGGATCCTCACATTTTAAAAGGTATTCATAAGTACATCGAGTAGGCCCAGTACAACATGATCGCAAAAATGACCTCTTTTGTGTATGAATTATAGCAGAAGCGGAGATTTTCTAATTCCCTTGGTTTTAATGTGTTTGATCATGTGGACAAAGTGACAAGGCGCATTCAACAAAGTTCAACATTATCAAAATAAACACACATCGTATCACAGTTGCGTAGGTCGATTATCATGTTGTTGATCACCGGATTCTGTGGTTCATGGTTCATTTGGTGCACTTCATGATGGAGTGTAGCTTCTACTCCGACATCAGAACGAGACTTTTTTTATAAATGTAACCAACTAAACTCAAGCTTTATGGACCTCCAATTATGTGATAAGTTTTGCTGGTTGTTGTCAAATGATGATATCCAATACGAACTAGCCAAAAGTCTGCAAAGTATGTTCCACAAAAAATCCTTTCAGGAAAACTGTAAATACTTTTAATGCATTAATTTTAACTAACTAGTTTTATTTTTCTATGTACTATCTCTACATGTATGTGATGTGTACGTATAAGTGTATGATATATGTTGTGTAAGTGGGTGTATGTATGTGTGCGTGTGTGTGTATGTATGTATGTATGTATGTGTGTGTGTGGGTGTGTGTTGTTTGTATTTATGTATGTATGTAAGTGTCTATGTATGCATGTGTCTATGTATGTATTTAGGTATGTATACGTCTATGTATGGATGAATTTATGTATGAAGGTATCTTTGTAGTTATCTATGTTTGTACGCATCCATGCTAGTATTTAAATGTGTACCTATGCATGTATCTAAGTGTGTATATATGTCAACAATCTTTTCATATTTTTTAAACGCTTTTTAAATATTGCTGATATTCTTTTTGAAGGTGTCATTTCGGCCTCTCGAGGCCTGGTGTTTGCATTTTATATGCTGTACTATGCTGTCCCATCATTTATAACACATGACACTATAATAAACTACTATTATTATTATTATTATTATTTACAGACCAACACCACATTGCTAGAATAGTGCGGCATTAAAAAAAACCAAAACAATAAAAAATAAAAAGCAATTCAAGGCTGAATCTGTTTATTGCACCTATATTGTGTGGAATCGGGTCCCTCCACTCGACACATGCAACATACCAGCACATAATGGCCTACAGGATAAAATGTTTCATTTCCTTTTTTAACACAACTATTGCTAATAGTGACAGGTTGTACTGTCACATGGGTACAATGTGTGAAGCCCATTTCTGGTGTCCCCCACCGTGATGTTGCTGGAATATTGCTAAAAGCGGCGTAAAACCAAACTCAGTCAGTCAGTTACTGACGATCTGTAGCCCGTTTTAAAAATGTATTATTGTGTAGAGTAATATAATTTTATGGATTAGCTTTTAGAGGCAGTGATAATTTAGTGAGTTTATTTTCTTTCACTGACAGGTATTTATTGCATCTGAGTTTGGTATACAGCTACTGTTGATATGACTGTAAATATTGGTGAGGAGAGGTGAAATTGGGTTTAACGTCGCTGTCGCGCTGGAGAATATTTGGCTCATATGACGACGTGCATGCGTGTGTATATGTAGGTGCGGCTGCTTGTACTAGCCCAGACTGAAGCTGGTTTTATGGTTATGACCCGTGAAAGCGAAATCTGGACTAAACCTCCTCAATTTAGGTTTCGCTTTCGCGGGAACGTTCAAGCTACAGTTAACATTGAATTTCGCATTCCCGGGACTCTCAGTACACAAGAAAAACAAAGAAGTGTGAGTCGTCGTCTGAAACCGTAGTCATGGTAGAAATTTAATATATAAATAACAATAAATGTTTGAGCCACAGACTGTTCACCGATAAGTCACATGGATGGATCATGTGGATGTGGAATTGAAAATATCGTGGATAGACAACTTACATCGTTAAGCATTCATTGACGTAATTTACGTTACCGAAATGTAATGTACGTTACTTATATATATAGGGCGATAACAACCTAAAACTGCTTTCACTTGTCAAAGTTTGATTCACATTTGATATTTCGGCAATACCAGACAACAAAACACAAAAGTTTCGCAAAACTTTCCAAATTTCCAAATAAGGCGGTAACGTAAATTATAGTAACGTAAATTAGTTCTGGTAATGAAACTTTGTTATGGCAAGATGAATAAATACAGAATGCTTGGTTGGGGCACATGTATAACAGACCGCCGGGCCCCAATGTACAGTGATGAAGACTATTACTGGGATGCTAGATTTTGAGTTATAACGGTAGCGTATGATTACTTGCTCAACAAATCTCTACTGATGTCGAGCATATTTTTCCATATTGTAAGAAAAATCAATGTTAACGAAACTATATGTTTTTAGATATCAAGAAAAATATCTTGTGGGTCTGTGCGATGATTTACCAAAAGAAAAGCTGTAAACAAACACAACGTAACGTAAATTACTCTGACTCTACCGACATAATCTAAACGTTGGTTTGGGGTTGGTGAACCATCGACATGCTAACATGGGCGAATTAACCCATATGTATGTTGGTTCTTTCATGACACTAAATATAACAAAACTTCCGTTGGATAAAATTTTGCAACAAGCTTAAATGCAAAGAATACGTACTACCGACATAGCAAAAATGCCGCCATAGAATAATGAAGGTTGATACTGTATTGTAAATTTAGTGTTATTTAGAATACCTGCACAGATACACCTAGATTTAATATCAAATTTGAAATCGAATGTCGGCGACAGCAATTGTCCAAGTTAACTGAGAATTAGTGAGATCTGCTCGAACAACCGTCTTTGCGCGGTGGATTAAATAAAATAGTCAAATAAGTCAAACAACAAACACATTTTACTACACAGCTCCAATACTTCTTTTCGCGGAGGGTTTTCCTACACTGATGCTTAAACTTGTCACAGATCAAGCGCTGAAACTTGAAACAACTGAAACTCCATCTGAGTTAAGAGGCTAACAGATCGAGTATTGGGGTCGCGCGCTAATCTGAAGTACGGTAATCCGATGTTTTCATAGCAATTCGCTTTCGCGGCACTTCTAGCACAACTTTGGTTTTCGCTTTACCGGGAATAGGGAATATTAAAATTTCGCTTTCCCGGGGCGACACCGGTTTTATAGTGCTAGCCCACTGAGATACCATGCCGCAGTGAAGCATGAATACCCCACTCAGACACATTATACT